AACAACTTTTTGCAATACCGGTATTTAAACAAACTCAGAATAACATTATCTATGTGTCAGAATAGGCATCCCTACACCATATCTTTTGTGTAAAAACCAGTTTGTTGTTCTTCTTTGTTTGCTTTTGTTGATGTCATTTTCAATAAATAATTTGAATCACTCCAGTGGTTTAACATGAAAAGGCAGCAAACATATCATTGTTTGTGAATAAATACTGGTTTACTAAGGTAGCTTTGGTCTTGTGGTTAATGAGGATAAATAAAAGCTTCCCTGTTTGGAATTTTAAAAATTCATTGGAGGTTCGCCTTCAGATGAATTGAAGACGCCTGCAATTTCATCTGCAGTAGGCTTATTATACCTACGACGATCCATATTTATCCTGTCTACAAACCTAAGTTCAAAACATCTTGAATCCCTGGTGATTTTTATAAAAGTATGATCGAATATGATTACTCTACGTTGTATATTCACTGCACTAAAAAAATTTACTTACGAAGGAATGCAAATACACCATTTTAGAACCAATAACATTTATAGGTTATTTTAGTTGTATATTTACACAACCTTAACCTTAAAATGTGTATAAATATAAAGAAAACAACATCATTTAAAATAAACTTGAACACATGATTTAAAAATAAAAACAAAACAGAAGTTAGATTTAATTTCGACTCTTTGATTATTTATACCGAATATTTATTCTATGTCGTTTATTCCTTTAACACGACAATAACGTAAAAGCATGAAAAAATGAAACTTGAGTATATGATTTAAATATAAACAAAGAATGCAGACGTTTTTCCGACTAATCTTCAATATTTCAGTTTTATTATAGTATACATTTCATAGTTGACTGCCTAAAAGTAAACCAAATGCTTGTATTGATCACTGTTTTCAAATCTGTGGCACAGCTGTTTTAATTTCAAAAGATGTAAACAAATTAAACCCCATGTTGTTTTAATGGGAAAAGTTTTATTCTGTTGCGAATTTATGGTAAAAAAATAAGAAAAATGAATAGTTTTCCCTCAAAATTCACGTCAAGACCTTTAAAATAAGACCCCTCCCATCCTTCTACGGCCATCCAGTCACTCACAATTTCTTTACAAAAATTTGACTTACGGAATTATATATATAGATTAAAGAATTTAGTCAGCTGTTTCAACTAAAAAATGGTTCTATGATATGCAAAAGCATTAAAAGTTATAAGATTTACCAACAGGGTGCAGCACTATAATTTTTTTGCATTAATGAAAACAGCTAATTTAAGCCATTAACTATTTGAACTAAGCAGCAACAAAAAACTGTGATATGCAATGAGAACTGTCAGAGTTGGACTGTTTACAGTTATGTTTATGTTTTTAATTTCATGAATAATTTGTGATATTTTGCAAATTTTTAATAATTTATTTTTTGTTGTTGTTTAGGTGAAGGGGTAGATCATTATGGCTATGTCAGATTAGATGTGTAATACTAAAGTATAACGTAAATTTAAAGAACAAAATTTTATCAAAATGTGTCCACCCCCTTTGAAAACGCAAAGCTTTAGTAGGCACTGCGGGGTGCCATGCTGGGAAACTCAGACCCTGCCCCGCCAGTCTGCATTGCAATCTGTTTAATCTTCTTATTTTATCCCTAATAGTACCAACAGGATGTCAAATGACATTGGTGACATTCTGAAATATAAAAAAAACTTTTTCCCATCACTGTTCAATTTGTCAAACGACACACAAAACAATCCTTTCGTCCTTCTCTCAAGTAAAAAAGGATCTGTTTGGATTCTTCTTCTACGTCGATGTTTTCTCCTTAACCCTTTCAGTGCTATGAAACGATATATCGTTGTTTTAAAAAAACCCTAAGGGATATAGAGAGGAAGTTTATTTTTAAAAAGAATAGCAAAACGGCCATTGGTGACCTGCATGTTCATAGGATACACTACCAACCACTTAGCTAAAAGATTCGCCCAATCCGATGATTTCGAGGTGTATGTCTAAACCAAGGATTATGAACACCTCACTATGCCCCAGTGGTTGTAGTATATCGCTACAAACACACAGGTCACCAATTATTTGCCACACAGGACGGGATTCGAACCCGAGCAGACAAATGCCACTGGCCAAGTGACACACGCCCTAGCCTTCTCGGCTATGTGCTTGAAGACTGGGGAGTCAAAAACCGGTATTTAAGCTGTCGCCACCGATTGCGAACAGATGGCGCTGCAGATGGTTGTTCAATGCGTTACTAAGTAGCAGCACCAGTTAGTCACGGACTATTTAGATGCAATCTTTTAGTTTTAGTAGTAGTAAATGTGTTCCTGAGACTTTGCTGCAAAACATTAGTTTCCCTAAAATGGCTATATTACGATAACCTCATCCAACTAAATCAGGGTTAAATTCAATATTAGCCTACATTGTAAACTATATGTCTTTTGATTTTATGAGATTTCGGTTTCAAATAATGCTATCAGAACATAAAAATTTATAGGAAAACCAGGAAAATTACAACAAAAACTAAGTTTTATTTAATGTTTACTACAAATACCGGGATTTTTCTTTCTTATATATTTTCTTTTGTGTTATTATTCAAAATTAGCCTAATTAATAAAATAGTGAAAACATGACAGTTAAAATTCAACAACAGGTAATGGAATTAAAAGGCAAACAAAAAAGTCTTACAAAATATGAATTATTGGCCTAGCACTGAAAGGGTTAACAAGAGAAGGAGAAGGAGAACTTCTTCCTCCGGCGACATCCTCACAAATGAGTAGTCCTAAAGCCAGTAGAGTTCGCTGTTGTGTTTGCTGAGTCGTATACCGATACGACAACTGTCGTGAGGTAATACGAACAGTCGTACTCACATGCGTCCAAGTCGGTGTGTGTGTACCCATAGTCTAGGACTCTAACGAGTTCTTTATTTAATAATCCTTTTGAGTTTATTGGCTCAGAATATTAATTACAACAATGCTAACAACGTTTAGCTGTACTTTTAAGAAGTGCTCATCATAGCCACTCGAAATATATGTGTGGTTGTATTTAGAATTTTGAATAAATTAACGTGAATGTGGATAAACCTAATTGACTAGAAACTTAAATAAAGAGTGAATCGGTCGTTATACTTGGTTAAATCACCAAAGTAAACGTGTCGGGAAAATTAGACTCGGTCAATCACCAGATTTGATAAGGGGTTTCTTAAATCAAATTAACGTAAGACGGTTCGGGGTAACGGAATAAACACTACGGATATCGTTCGGGTGGTTTAAATAGTTTTCATGGCGAGTAGGAGTCGAGAGTATGCGTGCAAAAGACGAGAAAAAAACGTGCAAGTCGCGTGCAATTACGGGCACAATTAAAATTAAAATAGAACTTCTCTGCAATTTAAATCAAACAAATAAATATATCGGTAAGCACACAGTACCTGAGGACTCCACCACCAAGGGGAAAATTATCTCTGACTCACCGGGATGATTCGGAAGTTACTGTTGGCGACCTCTACAAACGGCACGCATCTCGACAGCTCTGAAGCGGGTAGGCAACTGATCATGAGGTCTGCATTTCTGGCCCTTCTTTGCCCTCCCCCCTGGTGGGTGGGGTAGGTAACTAGCGCCCTCCCCTCTGCGATGACTAGAACCCCTCCTAACCTGCACCTACGATGCCGCTGTCAACGCGGGCGCGGTTTACCCCGAATGTAGAAAATTATAATAACTTTGAATAAAGCTTTAAAAAATGTATTCTTACCGCTCGGCAGGTTTTGGGTCGTTACACAATAATCAGCAATAATATTGCGTACTACTTTCATGCTTGCTCAAACCCCCTGGACTATAGGCTACACCTATATTAATCTTAGTTGAAAATGAAATTATAAATAAACAGCCTATAAAAAACCTTGCAGATTGTTTGAACAATGGTTTAGTTACCAAGACAACATAGGCTATATACGTACTAATTACATCTGGTGTGTGTTTCCTGATCAAGTTGGGCTCTAAATCTAGATTTATTTGCAGACAAGTTCTTCAGAAATATACACAAAGATTGTAGAAGTTCCACATCAATTGGCAGACATTTGAAAGAACTACAATTTACACAAATGTATTTAGCAGACATCCAGTGGTATGATAACTGAAGGGAATTTTGAATAAGACTTTCTTCATTAATAACATAGCTTACCTTCGGTGGCGTAAGGGGCACCGAGGTCCGACTGTCACCGCTCATCGCAATATCAGAAAAAGGTGACATTGTTTCTGTGACCGTGGGAGACGTTGATGATATCTTCAAGAGCTAAGAAGATATTCAAGATTTTGCCGCAATAGCGGAAAAAGTTATCGCCAATTCCATGACTACGGGAGACAATGATAAAGTCTGAGACCAAAAAAGATAGTCATGATTTTTCCGCAGTCGCGTAACAAAGATTACAACGTGTCTGTGACCACGGCAGATGAAGATGATGTCTTCAAGAAAGAAGATATTCATGATTTTCCCTCCATCGCGTAAAAAAGATTACGTCATTTCCGTGAACGCGGGGGCGAACATGATGTATGCAAGACTAAACAAGATATTCATGATTTTGCCGAAATTGCGTAACAAAGATTACGTAATTTCCATGACCGCAGAATACGATGATAATGTCTTCAAGAGCAACAAAGTTATCCAAGATTTTTGCAATATTGTGGAAAACAGTGACATCGTTTCCGTGACTGCGGGAGACGATGACGATGTCTTCAAGACCGCGGATGATGTACAAGATGTTGTTGCGGTCACGGAAAACGGTAGCAAGTTTCTATGACCGTGGGAGATTCTGTAAGATTTGGCTGTGATCACGGAAAACGATGAGGATGTTTCCATTAGCCTACAATAAAAAAATGTCCGTGAGATTTTTTGAATTTTGCCGCAATCACGGCTTTTGCTGAGATAAAATAATAAAACATAAGTGGTATTAATTTGGGGGGGGGCGCCATTTACATGTATTGCGGGAAAGGTGCCACTCGATGTACTTACTCCACTGCTTACCTTTAGTATTTTGATTTCTTTGCCCAATAAACTTTGAGATTTTGCTAGATTCTTCTTTGTGATACTTTTAATTGCAACAACTTGAGAATGATCCTGGAAAAATCAAATAACATATTAATTCACAAATAACCATGAAAAGTCTTTTGCTATCCCCGCTTTCTAGCAAAGCTAGAATTTAAAACGAACTTCAAAACGTCTTTATTCATACACTTAAAAATTGCTAGTATAAAATTAATGCTATCATATATATTATAACGTGACAGGGTTTTTATTTCACAATTCTGAATCAACTACTTAACAGATTTTCATGATTTTTGTAATGATTTTCATAGACTTTTTAAAATTTAAATATTAATTTCTAAAAAATTTTAACCCTAAACTAAAATTATGGTTTCGACATTCTTTAGTTATCAAAATTATTTTTCTTTCAACACAATTTCAACACAATCATGAAAATCTGTCAAGTGGTTGATTCAGAATCGTGAAATAAAAAAAAAAACCCTGTCACGTTTTAATATACCTATGATGTGTTTGAATAACAAAATGTTTTTCTAGACAAAAAAATATAAACATCTAGGCCTACTAAAAGTTATAAACATTTATTGAAATGATCATTTTACATAGGCCCTATACAGCTACTAAACTTACTTCATTTCATCTCCAATAGTATTGCCTAAAATTGTTTACTTTTACTTTATCTCTTGATAATACATTTATTTGGTTTTGTTTCAAATTTATCCAAGCCTTTAAACTTGTTTGAAGGCAGATCTTTGATTGCAGTAGGTAAAACACTATACAGCTTAAGTACAGTTTCCTCAACACTTTTTAAGGGCCTGGAATAATTATTGTGGGCCTACTTAATTAATATGTGATTCTTTTGCCTAGTAGAGTAATTGTGGTAGATTTTCACAAAACAATAAATTGTGGACATTCTTTTTCACATAAATTAAGCAGTCCAAAACATAAATAGCTGGAAGAGTGAGTAGTTTTAGAAGAACAAACAAAGGCTTGCAGTGTTCTCTAGGCCTAGTTCCACACATTATACGTACAGCTCTCTTTTACAGAATTTGTAATTAACCAACAGAGGAGTGGTTACCCCAGATAATAGTGCCATAGGATAGATACGTGCATGGTAAACAGTTAGGTTACAAGTGCATCAATTGAAACAATCATACTCAAAACTCTAAGCAGAAAAATACTTCCACATATTCTGTTAACAGTGTCAATGTGAGTTTCCATCCCAACCCAGGCTCAAGATAATTTCCCAAAACGGCTAGAAGTATAAAGGGTAAATATGCATTTTAGGGTTTGCACGCGATTTTTGAAATTTTTTTTTTCATTCTACTCGAAATTTAACGCTGATTCCGAAAATGACGTTCTTTTTCCGCGGAAAACGACCATAACGCGGAAAAACGACCAAAACGACCAAAAACTTTTTTTACCAAAACACGTCATGTGGGTACTCAAATTAACCGTAATATTAAGCAGATCACGACTATGCAAGAATTTTTTGGATCCGAGGTCAAATAAGCGAGATTTTCACGTAAATATGCGATGCTATTTTGGATTTTTGCTCTAACTTTTGTCTGTGTTAAAATACCAGCTGATCAGGATCAGCTGGTCATTATTTTATTATAATTGTTTATGTTTTAATTTAACAGGTAAAAGGGATGATACTATGCATAACCTAACTTAACCTAACCTACCCTAACCTAACGAACCTAACCAAACCTAACCTAACCAACCTAACCAACCTAACCTAACCTAACCAACCTAACCTAACCAACCTAACCTAACCTAACCTAATCAACCTAACCTAACCTAACCTAACCAACCTAACCTAACCAACCTAACCTAACCTAACCTATCTAACCTAACCTAACCTAATCAATCTAACCTAACCTAACCTAACCAACCTAACCAACCTAACCTAACCTAACCTAACCTAACCAAAATAACCTAACCAACCTAACCTAACCTAACCAACCTAACCTAACCAACCTAACCTAACCTAACCAACCTAACCAAACCTAACCTAACCAACCACACCAACCTAACCTAACCTAACCAACCTAACCAAACTAACCTAACCAACCTAACCTAACCTAACCTAACCAACCTAACCTAACCTAACCAACCTAACCTAACCTAACCAACCTAACCTAACCTAACCAACCTAACCTAACCTAACCAACCTAACCTAACCTAACCAACCTAACCTAACCTAACGAGCAACATGGCAGTGCTACTACAACCAATGAATAGGTTGGTACTGAAAAATTTCCCAATTTCAAGCATATCTCCCATAATTCTCCCGACTAATTACCCATTATTTTTTACACATTAAATTACAACGATAAACCACGTTAGATGTCTCCCCCACCCAAAACCCCAAATTCCCACCTGTCCCCTAGTGAGTTGGAGTTATTGCTGGTAGTATCACGTTTTCGTGAATATCTCGCTTATTTGACCTCGGATCCAAAAAATTCTTGCATAGTCGTGATCTGCTAAATATTCCGGTTAATTTGAGTACCCACATGACGTGTTTTGGTAAAAAAAGAGTTTTTGGTCGTTTTTCCGCGTTATGGTCGTTTTCCGCGGAAAAAGAACGTCATTTTCGGAATCAGCGTTAAATTTCGAGTAGAATGAAAAAAAAATTTTCAAAAATCGCGTGCAAACCCTAAAATGCATATTAACCGTAAAAAGAATTTCAAGAGTCTTTTGATCATTGAGACAGAGACTATTTGCACAGCACCAGTCGTTTATGGTATTAGATGTGTCATCTAGTCTACTTTCTCAAGGATTCAGTACTTTTTTTAATAACAGAGAGGGCCACCCCATCTGCAAGTAAATAATGATGCAAGTGAACCCATCATGAACCTGATTGGATAGGCCGTTGATATGAATAATAAAAAATGAAGGGCCTAAAACAGAGCCCTGCGACATACTGTACTCAACTAACTTAAAACTAGACATAATCCATAAACGGCAGCCTGATGTCTATCACTAAGATATGATTCAATGAGAGATAGGCTAAGGTTTTGGACACCATAGAAGGAAAGTTTGATTTTCGATTCATGATTCTTGGCTACAAGCCTAGGTCTTTATGTGGGTAAGCCTACAGTTTCTTAACTGGGCTGTGCTAATAACGATTTAAACTAGGTAAGTTACTGATGATTTGATAAGTAAACCTTCATGCATTTTTTTTTTCATTATCAGCAAGTTTTGTTAGTTAGGTTAGGTTACATTATGACACTTTTTTTATACTTGATATATAGTACTTAAAAATATCGATTATTAATCAATATTTTCAATTCGATTGTTTCAATCGATATTAGCATAGCCCAGTTATGAAACACTAACCAAAATTTGTTAGGTAGGCCTAGGCCTACTGTATTACCGATTTGTAGGCCTAAGTTGAAAATGTTTTTTTCTAGCCTATATATTTTAGTAACATACAGGCTACAGATTCCCTCTAAAGAATGAAAACTAGATCATTACTACGCTACATAACTTAATATTTAAATTGGTAGGGAGGGCCAAATTCATTTATTTTAAATTACCTATATACTCACCGATCTCAAGTGACCTTTAAACACAACAGCAAATGCTCCATGTCCAATTAAGTCCCTGCTACTATACTCATAGTCGCCAACAACTTCCATTGTTTCCAATAATGATAATAGGCTAGGCCTATTTAGATTGTCCAGCAAAGACGTATTAGGAATAGGATAGCCTAAATATGCTCACATATTTCTCAGGGGGTTGAATTCCTAAAGCCAAAAATTATAGCTAACACACTGCGAGATAACTAAACACTAGAAAACACTGTTGATACATATACTTTGATATTTAGGAAATTATTAAATAATGACTGAACTGATATGCGCCTATTTAGTTTTCATCAATATGAATGAGATCTGCGATCTGACAGAGAAAGACGAGAGACGACACAACATTACAAACAAGAAACAAAACAACCTACCCACCCTACCACTACCAGCCTTGCAGCAGTTGCAGCCTACCAAAATTTTTTTTAACTCACACACATGGGAACAGCTGACATAAAAGTCAATAAATTGACGGTAAATTCCCTCTGAAATAAGCATGGACGTTTGCATTCAATCCGACAATCTATATATATAAGATCCAATGTATGTTTGTTTGTATGTATATATGTTTGTTTGTCCTTTATGGACTCCGAAACCGCTCAACAAATTGTAATGAAACTTTCATGGAATTATTAAGCATTATTCAAGGATGGTCTGTATGAAGTTTGGTGCAGATCCGTCAAAAAAGGGCTCCGCCCCAGTGGCTCTAGGTTTACCAAACAGGGTGCAGCACTATTATTTTTTTAAATTTATGACAACAGCAATCGTTATTAATATTCTTATGCCTTGTTATTGTTATTCATGGTCATTCTGCATTGTTATTGTTTGTCATAGTTTTATAGCTGTTATTGTTGATTGCTTGTATTGATGCAATTGCTGATGAAATGTTGTTTTGTTGTAATATAATGTTTTGTATTTATACTAGTGAACCTGTGCGGCTCAATGCCCCGCAAAATAACATATGAATTTAGAAAACAAATTCATCCTGTTATTAATATTGACTCGACGTCGAAAATTAAATACAATAATAATAAAGCCTTAGAAGGGAAGCAGTCCAGTCATTTTCTAGCTGTATGTGTATTATATTTAGTATATTAATAAGTGTTCAAGTTCAAGTGTGTTCCTAGTTATTTGTTAAAGATTTTAAAACACATTTAACAAAACATTTTATCATATCAAACCAAAAGGCCTATGAAGCATATTTTGAGGGTCTTACAATGCTGTTTGAAGAATATACTTTTAAAAATAAACACTAAAAAACAATATTTTTATCACAAAAGCACTTCCACGAATACTACGATTTTAGTCTTAAAGTTACCTTCAGGAAGATTACCCTGGTCAGAATTTTCCGTAATGAATATGCGTATCCTATTAAAAGATGTAGCCTTACTTAAAACAACATACAATATAGTTGCTCATGACTGAAATTGATCTGGGTAAGAACAGTGCTGATCTTTAAATAAAGGGTTTGTGCTGCAAATGCCAAAGATAACATAAATTAGCATCTTTCCATTTTAAAAGGTAACTTAAGTTTGTTTCAGACGGGCACATTTTTATCCTCGAAATCAACATATGTCCCCACTTACTTGTCCCGGTTAAGACTTTACATTCTATTAAGCTGTTAACCATTCTGATCACATGAAGCCTTGTGCCATTAATGAGGCCCTTTTGATGTATTAATATTCCACATCAATAAAACCACTGCCCCCTTTTATTAGTCTAATCTGAGTCTTGGCAATACACTGACCTCTATATTTAAAAACTCAGTTGGATTTTCTGATGGATGTCTCCGCCTTTGTCTGTTTTCGAGGACCCACTCTTCTTCCCCTTGCCATACTGACAGTTAATTACCTAACTTGTCAAGTTCATGTACTAATTCATTAATACTGTTAGTTTATAAAGAAAATTAGATAAAAGTTACTTGGCTCGGTGCTTTCATAACTGCAAACTCAAAATACACCCAGAAGTAAAAAAGACTCAAGTTATTGGTAAAAAAAAAAAAAACTATGTTTGTGTAACAACATTATTCACATGAAGTAGATGATTTGTTTGATTTGTCAATCAGCTGTTTTATTTACATAAAACGATTTAATAATGTCAAAGATTTGTGAGTTTAAATACATAAACTATTATAGTAAAGTTTTCTAAATCATGGTAACTTATTCTCAACTAAATTTTACTATTCCCAACATTAAAATAAAGTAGGGCCTATTAAGATCCATTATGGGTAAACTTTAAGGTACACAATCCTTGATTGAAATGTAGTATACATTAACAGTCATAACACACAGCAATAAATTATTATGTAGTAGACTTTGACTATTTTCAAGTAACAAACATATGTTTCTGTAAATAAAAATCATCTCCCATGTTATCCTTATGGAGAAATGTGAAACTTTAAAGGGCCTCAGGGCCTCACTCTCTAATCCTGCACAACTTCACGTTACGCTCTTTCCAATGACACCAAAAACATGACAATCGGTTCAGTAGTTTCGGAGGAGTAATTGTCACAAAATATCTGCTTGCGTATTAAATAAGTACTAGTTGCTCTGCCCGTGCTTCGCTACGGGGTAAGAATGCAGAAAAGAATACTTTGGTTACCTTGGTTACTTTGGTTACTTTGGTTGTTGTTTATAAGATACTATTATATAGGTACTATAAGAAACAGTTACAACACACTTACCAGGAACCATATAGGCAAAGGCTCAATCATGCTTATTTGATTATTTAAATTAAGATCTCTTAATGTATTACAATCACTTTATATAGTGTATTGCATTAAAAATATATGCAAAATAATAATTCATTGAACACATGGCACCAAGAAACAATTCTACTTGTAAACAAATTAAATTAAACAGCAGAACAGCATTTCTGACAACAGCTGGAGTTTCATAACAATATTTGTTTCCCATGTTAATCTTATGGAGAAATGCAAAACTTTAAAGGGCCCCAGGGCCTCACTCTCTAATTATTTCCCTATAAAGAAAGTTTCCTGCACAACTTCACGTTACGCTCTTTCCAATGACACCAAAAACATGTCAATCGGTTCAGAAGTTTCGGAGGAGTAATTGTCACAAAATACCTGCTTGCGTATTAAATAAGTAAAAGATAATAGATAATCTTATTATAATCTTAACTGGTTGTATAGTGGTTTAAATTACCTTGTTCTGTCCAAAACGATCCTAAGTAGTTCGTAGTGACTACAGCTGTTTCGTGCTGCAGGAGCACATCTTCAGGTCGGAAGAATGTCAAGCAGTCATTAGATATTCCTCATGATGGAGTTCGTCAAAAGTTTATAGTAAATAAACTAGCTGTGTACCCGTTCTACGCACGGGGATCTTATAATATTCAGTTGAAACCTTCTTATATAACGAACAGCAGTTGGTTTGCATATTTTAAGATATGCTGGCCAAACTATTATACATAGCTTCATTTTATGTTGTTTTTTGTTGTTCCGGATCGGTATGACAATCAATAAAAGGTTAAATTACCTCTGTGTCTGCCGGTCGATCCTATAACGGTAGGCTTACTTTTATTTTTACTATCTGATCTCGTTTGCATGGCTCAATCACGTCCTGGTTGAAGTTCGTTCGCTACGCTCACTCACCTGTATGTTGGAGCTCGTTCGCTGCGCTCACTTTCCTTCAGGTTAGCTCGTTCGCTACGCTCACTTGCCTTCAGGTTAGCTCGTTCGCTACGCTCACTCGCCTCCAGGTTGCAAATTAGCTGTTGTCATAAATGTAAAAGAAATAATAGTGCTAGTGCTGCACCCTGTTGGTAATCCTTGTAACTTTAATGCTATTGAACATCACAGAACAGAACCAACTTGTTTAATTGAAACAGCTGTTAAGATTCAATAATTTCATTTCTCATAAGGTTAACATGGGCTTCCAGAAATTCCACGTCAAAAATCGACAAAAACTTGATTTTCAAGGGTTTACTGTTAAATATCTAACTGTCTCATATTCGATGAAATACGTCTAAAACCATCTCATATATGTATAGTATTTGGAAAATAAGTTTCAGGCGGGACAGTGCTATAGTTATTGAGGAGTAGTTGTAATAAAGTGCGTATTTTAGCGTTACCAAGAGAATGACAGATAGACAGACAGACAGACAGACAGACAGACAGACAGAAATTGAGATAAGGTTTGATTCGGTTTCTCTGACCTATGAAATGTAAAAATAACCAAAAAGTTCATTATTCTAAGCAATGTACAGACAAAACTCTAATTTTATTTATATAGATAACATAGACACGACATAAAAACACAAAAAAACGAAACTGAACATTTAACACTGGTCGACCAGGCGGTAACGAAACACGTGATACGGCACCGGTTGAGGGCAAGTCGCGACTGTCACGTGTCGTCAGCGTTGACTCCCGCCCCTACTCCTATGATATCCTTATCTCGTTCTTTTGTTGTCTTTCTATTAAGGATATGAATGGCAGTGTTGTAGATAATGTTAGACTCGAATGATAATTTTTCGTTCAATATATGCTGTGGGTTTTCCTTTGACGCCTTGTAAATTTCATACTCTTCAACTGTATCCATGTATCGGCCTTTATTAGGCTGGTTTTATGCACCGCGACAGCCGCGAGTCGCGAGTCGCGCCAAGTCTTGCGGCTGACAAAAATGTCACGCGACAGCGACACTTTTTTGTCGCGTAAACTCACATCCGGTGGTGGGGGAATTAAAGAAATCAGTCTGTTCTCAATCCAATGCTGTGTGTTGTGTTTTGATGTAGAAGTGATTATTAAGTTGTTTAAATATAGACCCTGTAGTGTTGTACACGTTAATGAGAAACCCCCAGTTATTTAAACAACACACACAATTTACAGTTGGAATTGGGTCAACCCTCTTAAAAAATTCATTACATAATATAATGATGTAATTTATATTATAAATAAAGAGTAAAGAACTCATTTATATACTAATTATTAACATTAATCAATATAAATATATGGAGAATATACCACGCGGAGTATGAAAAATACCACTGTCGCACCGCGACTGTCGCGGTGCATAAACGTGCCCATTTGATCCAATAGAACTTGAACCGCGCGCGACACATTTTTTGAAGCTGCGATTCTAAAACCTGTCGCGGGTATTTAGAGTCGCTCCGCGGCAGTTTGTCGCTGTCGCGGTGCATAAATGCTCCCATTTAACTCAATAGAACTTGAGTCGCGCCGCGACTCGCGACACGCGACTGTCGCGGTGCATAAAACCGGCCTTACAGAACTGTACTATTTCTAAATTATTGTGAATATCGGTGTAATATTGTGGTTGTGGGAAATTAGGTGGTTTGCGTACGCTGATTTGGAATTTGCCTTAGGCTTGTGTTCC